CCCACTATCACCCCTTTCAAAATTCAAGAAATGTGTAGGAACAAAACTAACAGGCTTAATTTGGCAACGATTGGTCCTACCCTCTCACTTTAAATGTCATGGACCACAGTTGGGCTTAATTTTGTCTGTGACAGGTTACTGGGGACTCAATTCGCTCCACATGGCTGATAACCACAGGTGCCTAGCTCTATGCTACTGAGAACTGTCATAACCCACACCCCAAAGTTGGTTCTGAATCATGGCCAGTTACTGATGCTCCCCATTGGCAGGTTAGCAGGTGGAAAGGTGTTGGTTGTGGACAATAAGCTGGTAAGGGTGGTGGCACTGTTTTTAGTGTCCTGGGACTAGGATGCGTAAATACTCCCAGGAGGTTGGGCATTTAGCATAACCCAACAAAGAATAGTTTCAGATTTGAGATCTATTACCTTTAAAGCGCAATATCAAATGGAAGGATAGATGGAGTAACGCCGCATTACTCAAAGTGTATGTCTTAAACCAGTGCTGGTCTCAAAGATTTATTAATATTTATGAGATATGCATGGACATAGACATATCGTTTTTAAATTTTGGTAGCAACTTGTAATAGATTTAGTCTGTTGAACACTATAAAATAATTGAGCTTATATTTTGTTATTTGTTTTACTTCAAGGGTTTTGCTTTATGTTTTTTTATTTTTTGAGATAGGTCTCACGCTCTGGTCACCTAGGGCTGGTGTGCAGTGGTGCAATTACCACTCACTGCAGTCTTGACTTTCCAGGCTCTGGTGATCCTCCCACTTTAGCTTCCTGAGTAACTGGGACTACAGACATGTGCCAAACATACCCAGCTAATTTTTTTTTTCCATTTTTTTTGTAGAGACAGCATTTTGCCATATTGCCCAGGCTAGTCTTGAACTCCTGAGCTCAAGTGATCTGCCTACCTCAGCCTCCCAAACTGCTCAGATTACAGGTGTGAGCCACTGTGCCTGGCCTCAAGTTCTTAGTGATTCAATTTTATTGTGCTTTGACTTCACGAAAGTCTCATAGATTGGAAATTCATCATAGAGAATCTAAGAGTGGATTTCCTACTGGAGTAGAAAGCAGACTACATACACAATTCTTTCTCAAAAAAAAGTCTTTCATCCATTTTGACAAGTGCTTAAAATCTTGAATAAAGCTTTGATGTTATAGTCCTGAAATTTTCTATAATACAAGTCTGCATAAGGATCAGTCATTTTCATTACACTGTCTGTGGCATTCATTTATTCAACAAGTAACTATTAGGTACAGAATTTGTGCTAGGTTTTGGTTGTACAAGTGTCAAATGAAATGAATATAGTCTCCACCATCACTGAGCTGACAGTATCATGAAGAAGACAGGAAAACAGCCAGTAAACAAGTAATTCCCAAATGGAAAGGATTATTTATAAAAGCAGCCAGAATGCTGAGATAAAGAGCAATGGGATAATATAGGAAGAGGGAATCTATTTAGAGAAAATGATTCAGGAAGGACTTACAAAGGATGTGACATTTCAACTGGAACCTGGAAGATGAAAAGAAGATAACCATGAAAGAAGCTAGTGAAGAAGAAACAGTATGTATGATGTATTTAAGAAATTGAAAGAAGGCTCTCATGGCAATGAGGAGAGTAGTATGAATAAGGAGAGAGAGGAAAATAGGTTCCAGTCTATGCAACAGCCTATGGACCAAAGTAAGGTCCTTGGATTTTAGTCAAAGTGAAGT